TTAGTTTTTACAGCCTGCAAATGTACTATTATAGTTAACTCTTGCCACTCTCACTCATAAAGACGACTTTTGGCTGTGACCAGCATGGCTCTAAATAAACACTAGTGTTTCAGCATATCTGATGGATGCGTAAATAATGGCGTCGATGGGGCTCCCACCAACTTCACTATATTTTTGTTTTGATTTGTCGTCTTTTCGCCTTTGTGACTCAAGCATATATGGCCTATGATAGCGATACACTCATCAACATTGGAGAGGAAAGTACAGGGACTGGATTAAGCGCCAGCGGCTAATGGTGCTAACTTCATAAAAGGCATATTGCCGGCAACCATGCTGACAGAGCTAACTGTGTTAACAAGGGGGGAACTGGATGGTGGGTGCTAAGTTTCCGTGACAATGCCATCCTCATATCAGCAGTAACCGCCATACGGGTGCAATGTAACGTGGCGCCAATGGGCTAGAAAGTGGGATGCACACATGCACTACACGCGGACAGACCGGCTTGACACAACAAACCACAGAGAAGCTGTGAATCAGACATATTCACATGTATATATCCATATTCTTTATATTTATACTGTGGTACAAGCCTGTGCAGTTTCTTGTGTAATATTTTACCACTCTGTTCAATAATATTTATAGGCCATATTTCTATTTACTGTAAATATATTACACCATGTGTGTGTTTTAGTAATCCTGTGCAACTATCAATCATAGACATACAGTATCTGTAGAAGTGAAAGGTGTATAGCATATAGTATAAGGATTTTTTATTATTTTATGTTTACTTGATCTGATTTGTATTTTTGTAATATTCTTATCCTTTTTGGCACTCAATCACTTTTTTTTTCTATTGCTTCTGGCTCCTGAGCTGCTGTAACATGTGAATTTCCCTGGTGCGGGATTAATAATGTTGCGTTGCATTGCACGGCGTTGTGTTGTGTTACCTTACCTTACCTTACCTCTTTCCACGTCACGTCACGTCACGTCACGTCACGCCACCTCACCTCACCTCACCTCACCTCACCTTGTCTTATCCTTTCTTATCTTATTTACTGTGTATCTTTACATAGTACAGTAAATAGTGGTTTACTGCTATAAATGTCATATACAGAGCCTTTATGGTTTCAATGTTTTTAATGTGTTAATCAATTCATTTTTGGTTTGGGTCTTTTCATGGTGGTTGTTGACAATAGGACAAATATAGAATATAACTAGATTTATCCTGGATGTTTTTCAGTTAACTAACCACTATGTTCACATTACAAATGATTTTCAAACTATTTATAAAGCATTCTTTGTGATCCATAAATTTATACAGATATCAAGGTCCTTATTGTAAAATCTAAACATTTTGTTTGTCAACAGCACCCAGTAATTCTTATGTGGTTATTTTATGTAAAACTATATCTATATATGTATTGCTATTGTGATGTAAAATGAGAAAAAATGACAATGTATCCATATCACATGCTCTCTAACAGCTTTCAGGCTTGTCGTTCAACACATATAGAAGCACGCAAACATTGCCATTGATGTATATTTGCCTCAGCCGTCAGACTGACTTTTAATATTGGAAGCTACAGTTATCTGCTACAGTCATCTGCTCTGTGGATTCAAATCCCAGCTCTGCAGCATATCAAACAGTTTAAATTAGCCGCAATATGAAAACTGTCAAGCTAAATTACATTCTAGGCTGTGTGAAGAGTTCATAGTCTCCAGGAAGATAAAAGTGACTTTTCTCATTGCTCAGGCAGAGGAGATCAGCAGAACATTATGATTCTCTCCACTCCCTGAAATTGTTAATCCAACTTCCCATGCAGTAAATGGTCTTTGATATTTTCTATTGATTACAAGTATGATGGCCTCCATGGAAGCTGTTAATGAAGCTTCGTGGTAAGAACATGACTTAAACAGAAAGAAGGGAAATTCAGTGGTACTTAGGGAATGTTTGTTGTTTATCAGAGGAGGGGGTGGCTGGGGTGTGACTTATCTTGACCCTCCCTTGAGCTACAATATTTTTCCTTGAGCCTCCCTCAATGACTGGGGAGAAAAGTAGGTTTATTTTTTTGGTGAAATTTTGAATGAGAAGTAGAATAAAGTGATTTTGATAACTTATTACTATTTTAACCTAGTTTATTATGTTTCCTGACATTCATAGCACATGATGTGTTAAAGAGCCACCGGAAATTTAAAATTCCAACAAAATATGTCTGCTTTTAGTGTCTGGCTATGATAAATGGTGTAATTTTGGCGATTTACAAGAAAGCATGCCTTTCAAACATGTCAGTGTCTTTTGGGTTTCAAAGAGTTTTAAAGATTAACACAAAGTACAACCGTTCCAACTTATATGTCACTTATATTAAGCCAAAATAAAAACTACAAGTCCCTCCCTACTGTTTAAAAATGATTTGAGATCCCCTCCCCCATTTTGAACCACCCCCTCCCCTCTTCTAAATAACAAACAATCCCTTAACAATCTGCTCATGAGAGATACATGATTTGTAACTCTCTCTTTCTCTCTCCACACCATAAATATGTACAATATACTGTATACATCATCCACATCATCCATGTCTAATCCCCGAACATCTGCAGTGTATCACCTAATTGCCTCCAGTCTCCAGTGGGGCTTTATGAGACAGACCCACTTCCCAGTTAACCTCTGTTACCACGGAGACAGAGTCATGCCCCTCTCCCACCACAAACACACTCACCATCATCACATATGTGTACTTCTACGTTTATAGTTGTTTTTCTGCTCTGGTTCTGCATTCACACACACACACACACACACACACACACATGCAGGCGTTATGTTACATGCTTTCAGTGACGTCCAGTAAACAGGAAACAGATGCCACTGAGTCACAGGAGAATTAGATGAATTTGTAATATTGCTGTAAAGCCTCTGAGTTTACATTTCTGATAGTTTTTCCATTTTAAGAGATTCATCATAATCATAACTGTGTGACATGCTATGGCCTCAGTGTGTACAATATACTAAAACATATTTGCATTTTCAGTGACAAAGTTGTAAATTTGCTGATTAGCACTAAACAAGCACAGGTGAGACTGAAATGAATGCCGTAACAGTTTGTTATTAGCAGGTAACGTCTCTAATATATCCATGTTAACAGCGCATCACCACTAATTATGCATCAACTACCTGTTCACTGTCAGGCACAATTACTTTGCTGCTCTTTACTTTTTTAACAATGTAATCAAAACCTCCCTGAGTCCTCCATATTTTTTCACACAGGTTTCAAGCCACAGTGCTTACTTTTATCACTGAACAGAGGATCTCCTAAAAATAATTCTTCTTTCAGCTGCTGCACTGATTTTTCTCCCAACAGAGAAAATAATTACTGGAGTTATTGCTGATGCCTAAATAAAGTAGATATGAAAATTTCAGTGGATGATTGTTGATGCAGTATATTTCATCCACAACCGAGCTGTGACACATTTTTCAGAGTTTCTAAAATCCCTCTAAATGCTGAGATCAAAGGGAGGCTATAAAACTAACTGTTGAGAAAAGCTGCTGCAGCTTCTCAACTCTAATCCTTTTAGCCTCTATCATTTATAAGTGTTAAGACATCACCAAAAAGTTACAGTTCAACCACAGCCTGGCTTAACCGATGATTACATTACTCTGACTAAACTTTTGAACTTTTGACCTACTTGCTTTGTCTTGCTTTCAAAGCAGACACTCATTGTCACTTGGACATACGTGTTCTTCTCTGGTAAAGAGGTCGAACTTTTATGACAGGCTTACTACTCGCTGTTGTAAGACCATTTCTGAATGTCAGCAGTCTTTCACAACTGGGTCAGAGTATTGGGCTGGGTATTGTTTAAAAAATCCAATCCTAGCACCACTACCCTTAAAGTGTTACAGCTACCAATAGAGCATTTCAATCAATACCCATCATGGGAACAGAAGCATTCGGTTTCGTAAAATGCCACCAGATGCCACAGGCTTGTAGTATAGCCATACTTTTGAAAGTTTTATTGTCATCTCGGCACAGTGCACTCAGTCAAATACAGCATGCGTCACTTCACCACATTACGGATTGTATGGGTTGTAGTTGCTGCAATAGTGAGTCAATCACACATCCCATTAATTTGAAGAATGCTTGTGGTTATTGGCTGCAAGCAAACTGTACAAACCTGGATATAAAAAGGATTGAATGCAGGTACCCTTTGACTGGACAAGTTTCTACTTGGTACTGGGTTATTTCAGTCAATACTGATACCCAGCCCTAGTCAGAAAGGAGTGCTTTGAATCAGTAGTGTAGTGGAAGCTGATGAAGTGAGTGTCGGTGGATGGGCAGGTTTCCAAGGAGGAAGTGGGTATACTGTCCTATATATTGCAATGGCTTTTTGGCTGATAGGTGGGTAAACTGTAAATGGCCAGAAAAAGAAGTGGTTATACCATGTACACCTGGGTATTCTTTCCCCAAAACCATTTGTTTGACCACTTCTGAACAAAAATGGCCCATCAAAACATAATAAACATTCAGGCTGCATTTTCAGCATCAAAACTTATCCTTTTTGGGAAGACAGAAAATAACTTGGCTGTGTCTGTTCCTGTATTTGTCACAGTTGGAGAGCATTGTGTTTGTGTGTGTGTGTGTATATGTGTGTGTGGAGGTGTTGGGTACCTCAGTGTGACTCTTCTAAGTGGGCTACAAATGAAAGAGAGGCCAATAGAAGATAAAGTATTGACTGCTGGCCCTGGTGACTAACTTGGACGCTTCTGAATGCTGCCTTTCATTCATTTCATTGTCTTGAAGGTTATCTCCTGCTGCTTGTGAGTCACACTGCAACTGCCAAGCTATTGTAAAACATAATATTATTTGTGCTGCTTGGAAGCAACGATGTCCACCATGACGCACATGCTGACTCACAATCCAGAATTATTAAATGACTGTGGGGGTTCAGCCAGAATGGAAGGCTCAAGGCTGATTCTGATACCATTTTTATTGACTGTTTCTCTGCAGACAATCCTGGTCGGGGACAGTGGAGTGGGAAAGACGTCTCTGTTGGTGCAGTTCGATCAGGGAAAGTTCATCCCTGGCTCATTCTCTGCTACAGTGGGCATTGGATTCACGGTGTGTTTGCATGTACAATTTGTGTGTGTATCTTTTTCATACAGGATATTTTCTTGTTAAGTGTCAACTAGCTCACTCAAATCACAAAAAAATCATTTTTTGTCACTTACCTCTAGTGATATTCAGCCATAGAGAAAGTCCTGGTTTAATTGGACCAGTTTTTGACATTTCTGTGTGAGATTTCTGCTTTCACTCCTACATGGTGGAGGTAAATGGAATTTTGTGAGCGGTGCTGATTACACAAAAAATCAACACTAACGGGTAGTTAAGGGCACACTGTCCCCATTACACTGGACAGTTCACAGAACATACATTTTTGGCTCCCTTGGGAAACAAAAGCACTCCTCAAACACTGTAGGACATGCTGACCGTCACACGTCAATGGAAATGAACTGCTTTGTTGCCCACCAGCACTGTGATTCATGAGAGAAGAACAAGCCTGCTACTTTAAGTCTGTGATCAAAACATAAGTGCTTGGCCCTGGCTCCTGCTGCAATTTTGACTTGAAGATGTTCCTGTTTGCTCCATGTGAGTGTGTTCTATTTCCCTGGTCTGGTGGGAACAGGACTGACTAACCCGTAGACTGGTGACTCTGTAACACAACGTCGTCCTACAAGTCTGATGGTGAAAGTAGTTGTTGCAGCTGGTAGGCTTCCTCTGGTTTTGGCCTTCTTTTGTTGTACACAGTCTGTATTCTATTTTACATATAGATGTAAAATGGTGGTAGCAAAGTTACAATTTGTTCTGAAACAAAAAATTAAAAAAACGAATTATAGCTAATAACCAAGCAGCAAACTCTGGGGCTGAAAGTGAAGCCAACTCAGTAGTGCCAAAACTGCAGTTCTTTAAATGACCACTTGAGGCTGGCTCCAAAAGTGAGTAAATCCTTATAGACCACCATGTTAAAATGCCCAACTTCACAGCAGTAATAAACATGTTTACAGCCTGGTACAAAAAAATGGTTTTGGTCTCTATAGCTGATTTCAACATTCATGACAACTGCAAGGTCGGTGAGGGGATAACCCACCCATTTCAATGTTATTTAGGCTTGAAATAGAGTGTGCCAGTAAACCCGGAACTCCGTTAGCGCTTTTAGCACTTCCGGTTCTCTCGTCTAAAAGTCAATATGTTTTTTGAATGGGATTTTGGTAAAATGCCTCAAATAAGGTCTGTGGTTAACAAAAGCTTAAGCGAGTTTCAGGTTTTGTTCTACGACATAAAACACGTCAGTAAATACCCTACTTGTGAATTTTGAAGCTTTTACGTGTCGTAAAAAAGGTGGTTGCTAACAAGTTGCTCAATAGGACTATAAACCCTGTCGGGGACATTAAACGTCATCACCCCCGAACAGGCGAGAGTGCAGGCAGTCCGCCATTACAGCTTCTTATTTAGCTTAAACAGTCCGATTTCCCCATTATACAGTGTTTTTAAAATAAAGCAGCCGAAATCAGTTGAAAGCTTAGTGGCGGTGACGTCAAGAGTCATGCGACCGTGGAGTAGTCATGTAGTCCGTTAAAGCCTAACGTTAGCTTTTACTTCTGGCGATAGCATTTAAGCTTCAAATGCGGTATGAAAGGTGTTCATATGTGAAGATTATCTTGCTGAACAAAACCTGTAAGTATCATAAACTTGTGTAAGCACAGAGCTTATTTTCTGACATAATCCAAAACGCAATGCAAAAATCACATTCACTTTCTCTTCCAGGAACCAGCGCTATGCTAAACTTCCGGGTTTTGACGTCAGCCCTGGCACACTCTATTATGCATAAATGAGTGAGTTAGCATGGAGCCCACACTGTTACTAATTGCACTCCCTGAAGAATCACTTTTTTTTTTTTTTTTTTTTTTTTTGAGAAAAACGAAAAAACAATTTTGGAGAGAAGCAGACAGAGGGGTCTGCAATATGTGCTGGAAGGATATATCCAGGATGTCAAAAATGACTCAGCAGCAACAACAGGTTACAAACATATAGATAGTTAGAAGTTTAGGCCTAACTAACGGCTAGAGATCACAGTGTGAAAGTGAACCACCACATCACTGGCAATCGTTCCAGCACAGCAGACAATGAATATAAAGGGAAACTTTGCCTGTATTTAAGCAGCTGTGTGTCGCAGTCTCTAGAAATAAACTGTGTTGAATGTCGGCAAAGCTCCCTGTTTCCCTTCACTGTTTTTGTAGAGCAGTGTGGGCCTTTATTCAGTGTTATAATCAATAAAGCAAAAGTAGTATATTATGTATACATTCAGTAGGCTTTACCTTCAGAAGCTAGCTAGCTAGCTAACCTTACACTTTTCAGGGTTTGATTTTGGTCGGGGAAAAAGGGAAGAAAACATGTCAACCTCTCCAGGTAACGAGTAACATGCCCCAGATACAACATTTAGCTTGAAGTCCACTAAACCAACCTGAAAGTGAAGAAAATCTGAAACAATTCCGTAAGAATCTACTGAGCACAGCCATGTCATTGTCGGCCCCTTGTCGGAGCTGGGCGATGCTACGCTATGATTGGCCAGTCTGCATTTGAGGGGCACAACTTAACAAAGGGTCAATTAAGGGTGTGGATGCACTGACTGACAGACTAGGTGTCATCACGGGCTCTCAGAGATGCCAGCGCTAACCCAGGTTTACTCACAATAGCTCTCCACACTGGCTATCTTTTGTGGAGTAGTTTAAGCTTTAACAGAGGTGTTTAAATACAAGTGGATGGTGACACACAGCTAATAAGCTATGATAGATTCCTCTATTTCAAACTTGCCATTTTTATATTCCATCAAAGGTCAGCATCCCAATCGGCAAAATAAATGTTGGCATTGTACGTTTCTGCAAACCATGGATAAGTCATATTTTTCTGTTACATGTGTTGAAACTTCTTTATGTTTTAATTTTCAATTTTATGTTGGGACAGTGCTGTGGTTAACTAGGGTTAGGTTTGCACAAAAACACTTAGTCAGGGTTAGGAAAACAGCATGTTTTGGCTTAAAATACCCAGTTTGGTTACTACAGACAGGGCTGGTTATGTCCCAACCTCTCATTAAAAAATACCCATGTTGGTCTCGAACAGTAGCCTGTTGCTTGGCTGATTGGTAGCTGTCTCGCTTTGGTTTGGATGCTATCTACAATGCCCTCTTTTTCCAGAATTTTACCATTTTAAATGTTGGTGTGACTGGACCTTTAATCCAAATAACACATCACACAGTAACAGCAGCTCCAAAGAAATCAGTTAACAGAGCTCTGTGGGTCTGTAACAGGGGCACTGATTCTTCCAGGAGGTGCTGCTGTTGAATCTTCTAGATGTATTTTGTATGTGTATTGAAGTGGAGGCAGAAATCTCAAAACACAAAATTTGAAATCTGAAATTGAAAAGATTGTTTTCCTTTTTTTTGGTAATTTGAATGAATTGTTCTTTTAATCAGTGTTCAATCCATGTAACCATCAGTGCAGTGCCCATTTTAACATAAATAACAATTTCTTTCTGCCCCTCCCAGAACAAAGTGGTTACTGTTGATGATGTAAAGGTCAAACTACAGGTCAGTAAGTAAATCAGTGCCACTGAAAACTTGACGTGCTTTCACAATAGCAACCTATTTTTAGAGCACAGGCTGGTTTCCTCTCGGGCACCAGTGTTGTAACTGAAAATTAGAGTTAGCCAAGTGGAACAAGGCCAAACTCTTTTTTTTCCTTGTACTGTTTCAGATTTGGGACACAGCAGGACAGGAACGGTTCAGAAGTGTGACACATGCATATTACAGAGACGCACATGGTGAGGCAAATACATACACTATAATCTCTGCCTGACTCTTAGCTGCACTTTTACCCACAAATGTTACTGTCATAGAGATGTACAGCAAGATAACCATCTGTTTATCCATCTTTTCTCTAAAGCTCTGCTCCTTCTATACGACATCACCAACAAAACCTCCTTTGATAACATAAGGGTAAGTCAGAGATATGTCTATTGCCTGAATGCTCACAGCCTTAACAAAAATTACCAAGGCTACAGGGTGTGTGTGTGTGTGTGTGTGTGTGCGTGTGTGTGTGTGTGTGTTATTGTAATCAACATGCCCTATAAGTTTCATCCTAATGCAAACACATGTTCTCTCTGATTTTTCAGATTGTGTATTCATGCGTCTGTCTGTCTGTCTTGTTTCAGGCATGGTTAACAGAGATCCATGAATATGCACAGAGCGATGTAGTCATCATGTTGCTGGGCAACAAGGTGAGGGGGTATTGTTTGAGAAGCTCAGCAAGTGAAAGAAAATGTGTTAAGGAAATAGAGAACAATGTGATCTTTAGTGACTATAAAACTGTGGCTTCTTATGATAACAGACCTATAATAGAAAATGGGAATGTGTCGTCAACAGCAAGTCGGCCATTTGTGCAGGGTAAGGCTAAAGTCTGATTTATGGTCCTGCGTTAAATCAACGATGTACCTACGTCATTGCCGTGACACCGTCGTGAACCCTTCGAACTTCTCTGTCACTCCATTTCGTCACGGTGCAATCCACCGCCAGAGCGGTAGGGGGCTGCGTTCCTTTCCTGAATGGTTATCATCATCTCTAGTTGATTCTTTGTTTAGCTTCCGGCTTTTCTGGTCACACTGAACAATGGCAGTCTTTGTAGTGAGGTGATGAGGAGTTGTAAAAGTGCTCATATTTTCTGACTTCCTCAATGAGTCGCTCCTCGACTTGATCCATGCTCCGTCCGTGTACAACAACAAGATGTTTAAAGATGGCGGGGATGGCGCAATCTGGAAATACGGAACCGGAAATGCGTTGCTACCAAGCAAACCAATCACAACCCTCTCGGTCTGCACTGGGTCTGCGTCGCCTTGACGTGTAGTTACATTTTTTGGGAGGTGCACGTCAGGCTACGCTGGGGGCTACGGCTAGCCTCCTGTGTAGCCACATACCGTACGACGTAGGTACGTCGTTGATTTAACGCAGGACCATAAATCAGACTTAAGAATGCCATCCACTAGCTGTTTACTGTGAGTGTCCAACAAAACTTTTGAAGTAACACAGAACAGTGCTCTGTGAATAAAATTCAAAACACCAAATGTAGAATATATAGTATGTAGTCAAACACAAAGGTAAGCTAACATTATGCGTTTAAGTATGCTAGATACTGGAGGATTAATTATGCATGATTAGCCAACGTTTTGTTAGCATTCAGTTAGCATAACGTTAGCTAGCTTATCTTTTGCTGCACTCAAATGGAAATCGTGAGCTCGTGTTTACAACATGGGAAATCATGAACAAGGGAAAAAATGCATCTGCTGATTTACAGACCTCTCTGTCAACATGTAGGTCTATGGGAAAAAGTATTTTTAGGACAAAGGGCATCATGTGACAGATAATTACACTGTTTACCATACAAATTGGCTTCAAATCCTGGCAATCATCCTGGAGGCATGCTGTAGCTACGTACACTTTCCTCCAAAAATGGCAGCGCCAGCCCAAAATGCCCCCAGTGTTGCTCTCTGTCTGCTGGATGTGAGCATAGACAGCTGTTTCCTAACAAGTTTGCCATAGCAACTTTTAAAAGTGATATGTCAGTGTTGCGTATACAACTTGTTCCACTGCCCCAAATTACCCATAAAATCTATATGGACTGCTTTAACTAATGTTTTTTTTTTACCTTTTTATCTTGGAGACAATCACTTGCTACATTGGCCTTTCAGATTACCCAGTCTGATAGGAACTGAAACTCAAAGATTATCTATGTCTACCAAATAATGGGCCAGTATTATAGAATCAGAAACAGAATAAGAAATACTTTATTGTTCCCTGAGGGGAAATTGTGATTCGTTACAATCGCTCCAATGTAAAGAGTACAGAAGTACAAATGAGACAACAGAATAGAAGTATGTAAATATCCGATAATAGAATAAGTATTATAAATGTGCAGTTTGCTACAGTGTTTTTACACTAGTGCTTAAGGTATTAAAAGTAAAAATATGTTCACTGTGCTGAGTTTGTAAGTGTGTAAAAATATACAAATACGTGCATTGTGCTTCATTACACTGTCTGAACCAGTGTTACATTAAGAAGTATAAAATGTATTATGCTATAATGTTCACTGCAATATATACAGAAATAGAATAAAATTATGTTGAATGAATATATATATATTCATTCAAGGGGTGTTGGTGAGAATAAATTAGTATACTGAAGAATATTACACAGCTGAATAATTGCAGTAGTGTGGCACTTGAATTATTGCACCAATTATTGCACTGTATTGCACAGTTAAGGCAGTGTTGCAAGGAATAATTGTACAGATAAGTCACTATTGCACAGTAGAAACATAATAGATAATTATGAATTATAAATGCAGATAGATAGGTGAATTAAGTCCAAATTCAAAGTCCATCACTTAGTTTCACACTGTTTGCTGTCAGTTGGTGGCAGTAATTCAATAAGTAGCGTGACAATGTGCGAGCAAAAGGCAAGGAAGACAGCCTATGCAAGAATGCAAACAGTGCAGGTTTCATGAATACTCTAAAACTTGTCATTGCAAATGTTTAATAAGGGAATGTTCAAAATATTTATTTACTGTAAATGTAAATGACGAGGATAAAGTAAATAACTTCCTATATTACTATATGACTAACAGTGCATTTGTATTACTGAACCTGATGTTAACCATTCTAACCATTCTTTACTGCATCTCTCCGTCAGGCTGACATGAGCAGTGAAAGAGCAATCAGGAGAGATGAAGGAGAGAGGCTGGCCAGAGTAAGTACTTCATTCACTGCTGTACAATAATAACTAATGTGCTTTTACTCAGCTGTGGGGCAGCTGTGGCTCAGAGGTAGAGCGTAGACTAATCAAAAGATCCGGCTCCTCCAGTCTGCATGTCGAAGTATCCTTGTGCAAGATACTGAACCCCAAATTGCTCCTGATGGCTGTTCCATTGGTGTGTGAGTGTGTTAAAACTGAGTAGCAGGTGGCACATTGTATGGTAGCCTTGGCCTCCAGTGTGTGAATGGGTGAATGTGACTCGTAGTGTAAAAAGCGCTTTGAGTGGTCAGATGACGAGAAGGGCGCTATACAAATGCAGGTCCATTACCAGGTCCATTTACTGTTGTTTGCTCCTCTTCTTGTCTTCAGGAGTATTCAGTTCCTTTCATGGAGACAAGTGCCAAGACAGGAGTCAACGTAGAGCTGGCCTTCACTGCTGTGTCCAAGTATGAAATAGTCTCACATACACTGTATACCACAACTGCTGTATTGTCTAAGTCTGAAGGGCTTACAGTGTTATTAATTTTATATATCATTTTACTACTAAAGACATCATATGTAGACACTTAACAGATATTAGCTGTACCATATTTTTACTGATGATGAACCAATACCATTGTTAATAAATGTAATCACTTATTTTTTCATCCAGAAATCATCAATAATCATTTAAGGGTAACATTTTTCGACGTGGTCCTTATTTTCCCATGTGTCTAATGGGAACAATGCTTTTTGAAAATTGGTCCAGTAAGGCTGTCATACAAATTAATGTGATAACGTATTAGTAATTTTATTATATGATTAATACAATTATTTTAATTAACGTACAAGTATATTGAGCAGATAAAATGATACCAGTTTAATAAAAAAACATTTATTTTGACATCCACATCATAGTGATGACACAAATGTTGTGGATCATTTCATTAATAATTTTATTTAATTGATTAATTTAAGGTAATAACAAAAATCCATCTGCGTTGTTTTCTAAACTGTGTGATGTTTGGTTCTGATCATCAGGGAGCTGAAGCATCGGGCTGTCCAACTTCCCAATGAACCCAAGTTCCAGATTCACGAATACATCGAAGCACAGAAAGAGAAGTCAGGCTGCTGCAGCTACTTTTAAATCTCCTGTCCTGAGTCCTCCTCCCACCGCTCTGGGTGAACAGACTGTCAGAGACACACTGAGAGCTACTGAGTGGGAGGAAGCCCTATTAATTCACTGCTGCTCCCAAAATATGATGCTGCCATTCATTCAAGACTAAAAGCCAAAAGGATAAACCAAGCTATGGACTCACAAAACCCACATATTTCTTAAGATGAGAACAGTTTACCCATAGGTATAAATACTGCTATATCTACATAACTATTTATATCTATGAGTTTACCCAGCTCCTTAGAGTGACGTTTGTCATCATGAGCAGCTGAATATTTTTGGTAGAAATTTTAACAAATCTTATAAAAAGTATTTCAATTCTTTGGGAAAATAGCCTTGTACTATTTGCTTTCTTTGCAAGAGTTAGATGGGAAGATCAAAACCAATGTGTAGGTATATGTTTTAGGTACAGAGATGGAGTCAGGAATCAGGATGTGGTTAGCCTAGCTTAGCACAAATACTAAAGGTGGAAGGAAACAGCCAGCCTGGGTCTGTCCGAAGCTTAAGAATACACCTGCGGTTCCAAACCTCTTATATGTGCGTAAGTTTTTTAGAACATGCCTACCGATCAACCCAGAACTTCTATACTGCCGATTAAGCCATATATTAAAATCACATTGCTTGTAAACTTTTCTGAACAATAAACAAACACAAAAAAATGCTGTATTTTTGCCTTTAATAGATTTTTATAATCATTTATAGATGTAAAAAAAATTGTTATTTCAAGATTCATACGTATATTTCCGTGTAACCTGTTATATCTTCAGATTTACTGTACTATCTTACACAAAGGCTACTGTAACTTCTAGTAGACGGACACCTTCCAAACCCAAATAAGTCAGTATTGTGATTATGAATCACAGTCACATGCTTTTAATCATTGCAACATTGTTGTGCACACTGTACAAACACAGACAGCTGAGGCCCATCGTAACATCATGTTCTACAAATAATGGTCATAAACCAACATCTGGACCTCATCCCTACTCAACATATTTTGACGCATGGGCAGAAGCCTTTTGTCAACTCACATGACTAACAAGGGGTCAGCAGTCAGGTTTAGGCAACACAACTACTTCTCACAAGACATGAATCTTGATCTCCTGGGTCAAAAGTCCTGTGCTTGTTGGACCCATCCACCAACACTTCTACCCACCCTAAGCGGACTTTGACAATCCTAAATCTAAATCCGTTGCTCTGAACATCTAACAATGATGCAGATGGGTTAACACTGAAGTTTGTTAAAAGCGTGGTGCATCACGTACAGACTCTAAATGGGGCCCCTGGTGTCATTATAGTGTCACTGGGGACACTAACCAAGCAGCGTATTTTGACATCCTAGGAGTGAGACCACGCTGAATTTTTGACCTGATGGTGCTAAATGGAAAGTTCAGGGCTCACCAAAGTGATTAGGGTTCTTCTTAATGTCTGTATCAGATTCAATGGCAATCCATCTAATAGCTGTCACTATTGTCAGTAGCATTTAACAAAAAAAATCAAAATGTCAACCTTATGGTAGCACTAAAGCAAAATTGCGGAATCACCAAAATGAGCAGGTTTTATCCTTTGAGGACCATGAATATCTGCAAACATTTTCATTGTAATTCATTCAAAAGTTGTTGCACTATTTCAGCGTTGACCGACCAACCAACCATCATTTCATCCCTATACAGCCATCATACTAGCATGGCTAAAACAATAATTTGTAGTTTTAGGAGGAGTAACATGCTCTTAGCTTAGCATACTCAGCTAGTCCAACAACATCTCGACTGAAGCTCCTTACTGAACAGAGATATGAGATAGAGTTTGATCTTCTCATCTAACTACTAATATAAGTTATGCTTTTCTGAACAGTGATCATTTTTGTTTGCCTTACATAGATGTCAGGTTTTTCTACCGTTTAATTTATAATTAAATAATTGCTGATGGAAGTACAAGGATGTTATGAACTCACCAGTTTGCCAAAGTAGAAACAAAAAACTGCAAACACCCACACACCACTGGCATAAGCCAGGGGAACACACAGTCTCAAGGCAAACTTCAAAAATTCAACATTGTTAGAACCTTATGTATCATGCAATCTACCAAGAGATCCAGACAAAGGCCATACACTGTGTCACGGATGCAATTCAAAGCCAAGTACATGGACAAAAGCCCTGTCTGTTTATGACGTGGTCAGACTGGTGCATTCCTGAGAAGCGAAAGTCGGCTGCTGTTAAACGCTTGCTGACTCAAGAAAAGCTCAGGGACTCAGCTGGAGATGACGCTTATGTGCTCTCTGAGTGCCTGGGGAGGAAGACCACAAGACAACTCTATATTTGAACATGCAGAGAAACGCAAATGTTTCGGTCACCTGAAATGTGACCCTAGAGGAAGGATTGCTGCATATGACCAAACATCACATGAGCTACTTGATGATCTGCGGCTGGATTTCCAATTTGGTCCAATTTTAGGAAATATCTATGTACATACTGTATTTGTGAGTGAGTGAGCAGATTTTTGAAAAATCTTTTTGGACATGTTGGCTGCATTATTTCCTCCCTTCCCCATGGCTTGATTAACTTTAAAGCTTAGTTGCATGTTTGGATTGCATGTAACAAGTCTGTGCACAGTGCCTCCAGAACATATGAAACTCTGTTTATATTTGTATCAAGACGAACATGAAGTATAAACATATAATTAGCATTTCTCTTCGGATTTTAACTCGCGCTCAGGGTTAAATTTTGCTTTGAAATACAAGATCTAGTATGTAAGTCCAAATCAACACATTAAAGCTGCATTAATGGATTAAAAATTTGTTTTAGGCCATTTTCAGGCTGTGGAAAAGGTGTAAACACAACATATTATCACCTTGAAAATCAAACAGTTGCGTATTTTCACATTTGGCAAATACAGAGAAACATCAGTGCTGAGTTTCTGGCCATCCAATAAATCTAAGCATACTCTCTGTAGCTCTGTTTTGGTCTCCACCACTTTACAAGAAAAATATCTGTATTTTCAGCAGCTGAATGCTAAGTTTTGTTGCTAACTTTGTCTGTCTGCCATTTCTTTTTAGGCAGGTACTGAACTGTGGTTTTAGCAGAATATTCAAAGTTTCAGGCCAGCCAACCAAAACAGTTACTTAAAGATTCTGTATCTGACGGTTAGAGCATTAATATAGCAGCAAACCCTTATGTGCTATGTAAAGATATAGCGAAGTAATGGTGTCTTGGGAGGAGAATAAAGTGATACTACCTTGTAATCCGAGCTTAGCCACATAGCACCCATCCTCTGGTTCCCCCCTGGATAACAGCGTTAGCTCTGTCACCATTTTTGCCATTGTTTAGCGCTGTTCATGGAGTTAGCACTGTTAGCTGCTAGCTGATTGCTCTTCAGCTGAGGGGAGCTGCAGAATTTGGTGGTAATTCTCTGTGGCTTTGTCACTACAGGTCATAGCATTTCTATTGTACATATTTATTCAATCTATTGTTAATGTAAAAATATTCATTACTGCAGCTTTAATGATGAACTAATGATGTCAGAACAACAGCTCAATGTGCAGGTTTTTCTGTAACACAAGCAAGTTTAAGAACTTCTGCTTGCAGTATGCAACGTTCCTCTGCAAATATTTCATATTGGTCGATTACTATATGGATGCTCAGGTCTGACACAGTTTATAATCTAAAATTATTCAGATTATAACCATTCGACTTTGTACACATTGTTTGTACAACAGTTGTTTGTTGTCAGACCACGCTGCCAAAAGTTGTCTTTGATGTGATGTATGCTGCATAAGAAATAAACTATTTTTAAGTGAGCACACTTCATATGAACTGTGTCATGATCATTTGATGAAGTTGTGCACCTACAGGAATAAATAGGAACAAGACTTCCTATTTGCAGGTGTAACCTTCAAAATAAAAGCACAAGCGTCGCAGCCTTCAAAATGTGGATTCCAGTTAATTTATTTTCATTTTTGTTTTACACTCCAACTATACTACCAACTCCAGCCAGGTAGAGGTTGTTTCTAAGTTCTTTTATGGGGTACATACCTCACTTTTTTGAGGCCATGTAATAACACGTGTTCCCTTTAACAGATATATTTGCTCTCCTATGTTCAAAAGCTGTGTGAATTTGTGACCTTTATTTGACCAAATTATACTGCGGTTTTTTGGTTGTTGAAAGCTGTTTAAAAAAAAAACCTTGAGAGCCCTCAGAGGTTTAAAGATTGTCCTCATTTTTTAAACAGGCCTAAAACTCACTTCAGCAGAGGCCATCTGCCTCCAAGACTGTAACACTGGTGCTCTGATCAAACTGAGCACTTTCTATTTCAGGTTGAATTCTCTGTCCAATTATATTGCAGTGCCAAGCCCATGCTTCTTCAAACAGGAGGAGGCTAACAAACACATTCAGGACACCAAAAAACACAGAAGGTCCTGACTGCATGCCCGCACATCTTATGTTTCTGAACTAATTAATATATTTAGTAACAGCTGTGCTTTACTGTTATTGCTGAACGTTATTAATGACTTCCTAACATGCTATTTTGTGACCTGGGCAAAAGCATGAGTATAACCAGGGCTGTAGCACCAAATTCTGGGCCCTGTGCATAAGCAGTCTCTGTAGGCCCCCCCATCACACCTCTCTTGATCCGTGTCTGTCTCTTGTGCCTTCTAATTTTTTTTTTCAAAGTCAGTTTGCTTTCTTTCTTTCTTTCTTTCTCTCTTTTTCTTTCTTTCTTTCTTTCTCTTTATTTTTATGGAACCCGTGATTTCCCTTTTTTTGGGAGGACATGACAGTCTAGATAGATAGATCTAGTCTATGTTGGTGTTTCAGCAACATATGTAGTCACTAGTGTTGGGCAGTAATGCGTTATTAGTAACGCCGTTAGTTTTGGCAGTAACTAATACTCTAACGTGTTAGTTTTTAAATTCAGTAACTCAGTTACCGTTACCAGACGGTGCGTACTCCGTTATTTTTTCAACTAAAAAGTTACTTTTCTCAGTAATGCATTACTTTTTGGTTTAAGTAACTGAGTTACTAACTGAGTTACTTTTTTATTAAAGTAACTAGTAACGGTAACTAGTTACTATTTTTCAGTAACTAGCACAACACTGGCAGTCACTCACTCAGCTCTTTAGAGATGAATTCTACAGCGGGGCAGACTAGACCATTTTGCTCCTTTAAGGGTGAGAGGGGCTTCAGAGAGCTTCTACTATGTTTTCTTTCTTTTTTTTTTTTCTTTTTTTTTACAGAAAGTTCAGTCTTTACAACAATGTATTCAGGCAATTTTAATTTAGTTATGGCTCTAATTACTTTGAAATAAGAAAATTGCAAACAAAATTTTTTTTTCATGCCAGATTTGTCAAGGGCCCCTTCCCATTGAGGCCCTGGGTAATCAGTCCCACTATTAGTCCCATTATGATGCCCCCAAGTGAAACAAACCATAGTCTGTACATTTATAGTCTTCAAAGGCAAACAAGAATCTAATAATGTGCTCACACCAGGCGTGTATAAAACAATTCGAATTGTTGAGAGTGAATTACATGTAAAGTCAATGTAAAGATGTGATTAGATTTAAATTCCCACTGGGCGGCATGATCGACGCGATGGACGCGATGGATGCGATAGATGCAACAAAAATGACTTGAAATACATGAATTCAGTGGCGGAAATTAACCTACTGCAATTTCATGTCATATGCTCATTTACCAGAGTTGAAAAATCTGAACTGGTGGAAGTTCATTCATGGATTCAGTGATTTCATGCGTGTATGAAGTAAATTATTAACGTATATGTAGCATGTCAACACAAAATATTCTAGCATTCAAATTCGCATCGCGTTTGGTGTAAGCACAACACAACATAACAACATCTGAAATCCATACATTGCACTATTCATACAGTAACTAAAGGAAAAAATATTTAAATTAGGCTACATTAGTAACCAAAGTGTTGCTGCTTGTCAGGGTCCTAGCCAGGCTTTAAAGATTTTTTTTTTTGTTATTAAACATTTGGAAAACATACAGAAGCATAAACATACAACATCTGGTAGAGGATGTGCATTCTGTACAAATACAGAGCAAAGTAATAGTGAACCTCAATGAAGATAAGGAGAAATAAATAAAGAAAATAAAATACTCTGTTTGGGGAGATGTATATACAAATAAATAAAAAAATATAAAAACTAAGTTGTAAAATAAAACATCAGGCATACAAAATTTGACAAACTAGAGCAAAAACATTAGGATCCAAAACAAGGACCATAATTCAGAAAAAAAAAGAACTGAGAAAAGCCAACACATATCTTTTTTTGCAGTCCAGCTAGAGTTCATTTTTTTCAGTGATGAGAAAAATAGAGATTATATTTATTACATTTGTATTAAATAGTTATTTATCATATATTTATGTATTTATGTGTTATATGTTTATTATGTCAGACACAGATAGATTCAAATTGTCCATATAAAAAGAATGTGAGAGATATCAAATGCTGGAATGTCATGACATTCAGACCAAGGATTTAAAGACACTGGGGTTATAAGTCCAACCAGCTTTGCACTATTGGATAATTTTGTATATGTTTCTGAAAATTCTCAATAATGTTCTATTAATCTGGACATTTTTCCATGTTTAATATTTTAACCTTATCTATTTTTTTTATTTTTTAAAAAAAAAATTAAAATCAATTGTATGTTTTTCTAAAAGAAGCTCTAAAAACTTATAAGAGTGCCTTCCTCTCTGCCAGGAATATATTATGATGGGAAATATCAATTACATTTTTTGAAAATAGCTGTTGTTTTAAATTTTCTTGTGCTTTTTTTTTGTAATTTAAGCATACTGAGTCTAAATGCTAGGCTACTGGTATTCAAGACTCCCTGCAACAATGTCGTTTAGATAGGCTATCTAAATTCTTAGACAAAAAGATGCATACGACATTGACACGCAGTAGAGGCTTTTATTTTGAAAATCTGATGACACGCGTTAAACTCGTTGTGTGAGTTTGACGCTGGCACCTCCGCTGAGCACGGGACAGTTTCGGATTGGAGGTGAAAAAGAAGATTGCAACACAGCAGTTCATAGGGGAGGATCTGAGCACAAGCCGGCCGGTGTGAAAGCGCAACATAAGTGGTGGAAAGTTTACTGTGACTCAGTTGAGCGGAAGTCGAGCTCGAGCTAAGTCAGTGTGTGCAACAGGTGTCAGTTTGTGTATGGTTTTTGTGACTCCCTACTTAAAAGCTTTGAAGTGGTTCGGATAGTGAGGAGACAAGTTTTCGTCGGTTAGAAGAGTCTCAACATGTCGAACCTCCGACCCAGAATGTGTGTGCTGGAGAAAGGAACCAGCGGATACGGGTTCCACCTGCACGGAGAGAAGGGCAAGATTGGGCAGTTTATCAGGCTCGTGGAGCCCGATACTCCCGCCTCCGCAGCCGGGCTGCTCGCGGGCGACCGCCTGGCGTTCGTGAATGGAGAGAGTGTGGAGGGCGAGAGCCATCAGCAAGTGGTCGCCAGGATACGGGCCACCAACGGGCCTCTCGAGCTTATTGTGGTGGACCCCGATACGGCTGAGCTGCTGAAAAAACACAACCTGATGTGCCGAAAAGAGTACGTCGAGGAGGGGATTCCCCAGTTCGCAGGAGACAGCGACTCAGACCGCGGGGACGCACACAGCAACGGCACCCCGAGGGAGTCCAGCCCTGTCCCGCGTGAGAACGGGGATGCTTCCTCGGTGAGGTCGGACAGGTCAGGGAGGCTGAGTATCAGCTCCAGCACCAAGGTACAGTGAAGCACAGCAGCTCACTCTATTTAAGTTACTGCACACTTCACTTAGTGTACCATAGAATTATTATGATATCGTGTCATTGTGTTATGTTATATTCCTGAGCAAACATTTAAAGCAAATAATATGAGGCAAAAAGCCCCACAATGCCACCTAAATGGGTGTCTTCTTAAATATGTTTCTGTGCTTTTGGGTTTTGATGAGTCCTCTGTAAATTAGACCTTGAGAACTGTGGGTTACAAGGTAACCTGTGAATAGGAGAGTGCAATATGGATAATCTATTATGTAATCTTGTATCATATCACTATACAGTATCATAATGTAGGCTAGTACAAACTATGAAAAGCAATTCAGTAACTTGACCATGGAAATTTCTTCTTGGCCTTTGGATCAGTTTGTGTTACAAAACACCGTAAACTCAAGGTCCACATACTTTTATGTTGCCGTCACTTAGTTATTATCTTATCAGTTTCTTAGTGTTTGTTGATAAGTATCTGTCAAATATTCTGTTAAGTATCTTGACAGAAGTGTCTGTTTTTGGCTAATTCAGACACTTCTTAAATTTATAATTATAATTTATTACAAAAAGCAATATTACCATGAAGCATTGTTGATTTACAGCATCATTTACAATGTCCTAATACCTAAGCAGCTTTTAAAGGGTCAGCTTGGTATGAACAGTATGGGAAAACCTCTGACATTTGACAGATTTATATCATGTCACACCACATGCTGACATATTGCCCAGCTCTACCAGTCACTGTGTGCACAAGCACAGGATGTAAGGTCTACCAGGTAATTAAAAACACAGTTCATTCCATATTATTGCACAGCCCAGTCACCAAAAGAAAATATTGGCATCTACATTTCTGCAAACAACATGTATGTTTCATATGTATCATATCAGCGTTTCTAGAGTGACGTAGTATATGAGCTGATTTTGTTATCAGGAGGGGGAGGGGAAAGTGGATGGAGAGACATCAAGGTGAGACACCTGCCAAGCTGCAGACCACTGTACAGAACAAACAACAAAAACAGTTGT